TGCAATACTATTTTGGGTTGCTCTTTAATTTTTTCCATTTTATGAACTGGACTCCTCAAGCTCCAAATCCCTTCACTACAGAATCATTTCCTTGCCTTCCCACAGTTTCTAACAACTGGTGCAGTGCTGCATATTAGGAGTTACTCTGTAAATAGTTGGTGACTTGATTCTGTTTGATACTTGCCTCTTTTCTGTGTTTAAGCGTTTATCTGACCTGTAAATTCATTGCCTACTGCCGAGAGACATAAGCTAGGAATTAAATGTTTCCCTGTAGCTTGGGAATATTCAGCAATGCATAGTTAATTACAATGAAATTCTACTATAAAAGAAGATTTGAATGATCTCATGCAATTCTTAGAAATATGATTTACCATCTTAGTTACATATAAATAAAACTAAGTAGAGATGTTAGACGTGTTTTCTCTGTTATCATGTAAAACATCAAGTAGAAATCACCAAGAAATATATTTTAAATGCTCCAGAAATAGCCTATTTCCAGACATTTGTATTGTGGGTTAGGATGCTAAGTTTACTGAAAGTCTTTTTAAATAGGAAGTATGAAACTGAGTTATAAAAATAGACAATGCTGCAGATCATTGTATAAAAAGATAGTCAGCTAGCCAACCAACCAGAAGAAAACCAACATTACATAAAGACAAAAGACAGATTAAAGTCCTTCCTATTGTCCAGTGAAAAACAAGGTTCTACTAATGGTAGCTTACCTTGATGGTGCACTTACTTTAGCTAGGGCTGTCGGCACAATGGTTACGACGAGCTCAGCTGCTAACCAAAAAGGTCAGCAGTTCGAATCAATCTGCCACTCCTTGGAACCCCAATGGAACAGTTCGACTCTGTCCTATAGGGTCACTATGAGTCAGAATCAGATCGATGGCAATGGGTTTTTTGGTTTAGTACTTTCTTTCAGGGGATCCCTCATTGAGGATTACTAAATAATGCACGCGTGCATCCCAAAACCCATTGCCATCGGTTTGATTCAGACTCATAGCGACCCTGTAGGACAGAGTAGAACTACCCCATAGAGTTTCCAAGGAGCAGCTGGTGGATTCGAACTGCCGACCTTTTGGTTAGCAGCTGAGCTCTTAACCATTGTGCCACCAGGGCTCCAAGAAAGTAATGTGTATTACTTATTCCTGTTCTGCTGTTGAAGAAGGTGAGCCTTAGAGAGGTTAGATATCTTGTTCAGAGTGATACACATGGTAAGTGACAGAGCAGTACTTGAACCAGGTTTGTAAGACTCTGTGGACCAGCACTGTGCAACGGAACTCTTCAATGATAGAAATGTTCCATATCTGTACTATCCACTTTGGTAGCCCCTAGGCCCATGGGGCTGCTGAACACTTAAAATATGGTAATGCAACTAAAGAACTGTATTTTTGTTTTTATTTAACTTTAATTATATTAAAATAGGTCCATGGGGCTAGTGGCCACTATAGTGGGCAGCCAACTCTAGAACCTTTCTAAAATGCTCTTAATCACTACACCATACCTCTCTGATTCAACCCCCTACATCAAAGCACATAATAGGAAAAGAAAGAGAAGGAAATGGCAAATTTTAAGTTACACAGAGCCAGAGTATTAAAAGCAGTTTGATTAGCCAGGGACAGAGAAGTGGTCTCTGTCCCACGGAAACCTCTAAGAGACTCTTGCTCTCTCATATCAAGCTAAGGCAGAGTCACCCAGCAGTGGACTTTTGTCCAAGATCCTTAATTCTGATGTCCTTTTTTTTTGTCCCGTTGAATCATCTTCATTTATATTGTACCATCATTCTCCCTTCATACTGTTAGTCCTTGTGCCTACTGATGCCTCAGGGTAAAGGTAAGCAAGGATTTCCATTTCTTTGTGGGTGGTTTTGGCCAACACTCTGAATGCCTCCTGATCCTGGCTTTGTAGCCTGCTTGCTTGTGTTTTCTTGGCTGTTCATGTTGACCTTTTTGGGTCTCAGATTTCCTCATTTGCAAAATATGGTTGTTGAATTTAATGGTTTGTACAGATTTCTTCTAGATCTAAAAATGCTGTAGATAATTATTTTAATGCCTGAGATCCTATAGTTGTATGGACGTGTAGTAAATGCTTGCATTGTTAAAAATGTGTGTACAAAGCCCAAATTAAAAAGACAACACAAGAGATGCTAGAAAGCTGTGCAACTTTTGAAGTCTGTTTAATAGCTCTGTTCCTCTTTCATGCTCCTTTTCTGAATGGATGGCTTTGCTTTCAATACGATACAAAGCAGAAGCCTGCACTTCTTTTGATCCTTCATTTGGGGCAGCGGGAAGTGATTGCTATACCTAGATATCTCAGTGAATTAATTGTCACATTGAAATAATATGTTCGTTTAACATGCAGTAGCAGTTAAAGCATTGAAAGCAAATAAAGAAGTTTGAAATGTTATATTAGAAGCATAAGTTGGCTTTTTGTTAACGTGTATGTATATAAGCAACTTTGATGTTTTTACCTTTGTGCTCATTTTGAAAATAACAAATATTCCATTAAGTTCCACCAGTTCATTTAAACTATTTGAAGAAATTTAGTTTACATACATTTGAAGTAAAGTCTCTAATGTGTAACTCAGTGTTTTGAACCTGTTAAGTATCATCACCTACTGATTTTTGGAATATGTCCATTTCTTGACTAAAGCATGTACCAGTGGTCTTCAGCCTGTGGTATGTGTTAGGATCACCTGTAGGGTTTTTTAAAAATATGATATCCAGGTCACACCTCAGACCTAGTGAATCAATCTCAGGAAATGAGGCCCTGCATACAGATACTGAAATGTTCCCCAGGTTATCCTGATGTACGCCAGAGGCTGAAGAAGCACTAGTCTAAACCAGAACACCCTGAAAGTTCTTGACAAGAAAAGACATAGTCTGTTCATTAATTGGTCGTATACCAACATCATAGCTAGCTTATAATAACTTAGTGATGACAGTATTATAAAGTTCTGTTGTTCCTCCAAAATTCAGCATTGATGTTTGGGTCTGGGGACTCATCACTCAAAACATTCAAGTAACTCACTGTCTGTCATTACTGAGAATTAATATGAAGCATAAGTAAGTGATATAAATAATAGGAACCTAAGAAAGAAGTGCTGTATTTGTTTATCTTGTTCTTGCGAGAATCTATGAAAAAATTAAACATCCTAATTTTCTCTCATCCTTAGATCACTAATATTCTTATAATCAATTGTCAGTGTTTTGACAATGTAAAACAGTTTTACTGAAAAATATTTTAAATCTTTAAATTGTTATTCATCAAACCCACCATTATTTGTTCTTGCTTATGTTATGCTTTCTCCTAGATTTTAAAATAGCATCTAATTCCCATTTATTTATGTAATTACTAAATACATTTATATAATAATGATCCTAAATGTGAGGTCGAGTATATTAAACTGGATTTTCCAGGTCATTACACCAGTAATATTTGTAGTGAACCACACACCCCCTTCTAGATAATATACATTTTGCCTTTATTGTCATTATTGACAGTTATCCTCCAAGGTCATTTTTTTAGTGTACAAATTTGTATAGCGCTCAAAACATGCTAGACTGGGAGGACTTAGGTAGGGGTATGTATTAGTCAAGGTAATACTAACCTGTGAAACAGGTAAATCCTAAGTCCAGTGTGAGTGTTCTTGTGATTTTAGTTTGTATGAGTATTCGTACTTGAGTGACCTTCCATGTGTATAAATTTAGGTCTTCCCTCATCGAAATCTTCATTCTTCTCCACTCAACTGGTAGTTAGGGAAAGGACCATGGAAAAGGCTTATATGCTCTTGGCCACTTTAGCCTAGAGGGAACACAGCTCATTATCATCATAAGACCACACTTATTTGCAGAAGAGGCTGGGAAATACTCTAGTTACTGTATTACCAGGAGAAAAAGAAAAAGGATTTGGGTGAACACATTAACAGTTTCTACCCCAGCCCTGCCATGAATGACTATGCTATGAATGCTAGTCATTCATTCTTGACGTTCTTGGCAAGGCATTTAAACTCCCTTGACTTCATTTCCCTTTACTTCAAAATTAAGAGATCTGACAACTTTCTCTTTTTTGATAAGATAGTTAAGAAAATGCTCTTAAGATTTAGTGAGGCGTGATTCAACAAAGCATTTGTCAGAATCATAATATTCTTAAAAGTAGATCTGATGAGAAATGAGAGCTAGGTTATGGCACAGTTGGTAGTTTTGTAGCTAATTGCATAACTAGCCAACAGATGTTGGTTACTTGATTCAAGTTATCCTGGAGAGAAGATTGTGGGGGTGCATGGACTTAGGACTTTATTCTTAGTCCTAACCTTTTTACTTTTTCATCAGTAAATAAGATGGAAACATAGAGCTCATACACTTCAAATTGCAATTTAGAATTTTCAAATAATTTTTTTAGACTCCTGGGTTAGCCCATCATATTGTATTATAGGTTAAACTATAATACAAGTTATAGGCTACTTGGGCTTTTGAGGTCTTGCCAGGGAATCAAATGAACTATTTCTAGCACTGTTTTTATGACAATACATTTATATTCCAAACAATTATTTTATAAACAAACTGTGGAACATAATCCATTTTTAAGTAAAGATTGGTCTGGATTTATATTTCCAAAATGGTTTAATTGCCTTTCTGTTTTCAAAGATGAGAACAGAATGATCTCTTACACCCTTAAATATAATTTTAGGAGATATGACTATCAGCATGAATATAGGTTGGCTCTTTTTCAGCAGAGATGATGTGTTGACTACATGAGACCTCAAATAAGACAAGGTAGCTATTAACTAGCAGTTACATGTCATATTCACTCACAGTGTTTACAAGACATACATATGACTTGAGCCATCATTGATTTTAAAAGACAAAAATATGATGAATGGTTACATTAGTATTGATTACTTCTATTACATTTGTAGGCTTTAAAAGGACTTTGATAGGATGGATCTTTTTGATATGATAATATTATTTCAAAATGTGTGTTTTCTTTCTTTTCAGGACTTCCAATAGTAGTCAGACATTATCATCCTGCCATACAATGGAGCCATGTTCATCAGATGAATTTTTCCAGGCCCTTAATCATGCTGAGCAAACATTTAAAAAGATGGAAAATTATTTGAGACATAAACAGTTGTGTGATGTAATTCTAGTTGCTGGTGATCGCAGAATTCCAGCCCACAGGTAATTGCTTTCTAAATTGCTATGTGTGTGAAATATATCCTTGATAGTTTAGTTTTCTGTGTTGAGGCAACACATTCTAATTAATTATGATGGTGGAATACTTTGTGAAGGGGCATTTCATTGAATTTCCATGAAGAAAATGGTATGTATAAAATTATTACACATTAAATGACCTCAAAAGGTCATTTTCCCTCTGTAGAAGCCCACAAGCAAAACACATTAGCCTCTAAGCAGTCAGTATTGTTTGGTAGAAATATCAGCTACTATAAGCATCTTTTATGCCACTTTCTACCTATTAAATGACTATAAATAAACTCAGTGGAAATTAGAGTTTGTGGGTATCTAGAAGCAAAAAAGCTGGTGGAATGAAGTGGCTAAGAGTCTTACGTGTTTTGAAATAGCTATATGTATCCCAGCTTCTGCTTGTTGACCTCCAAGAAGTATGAAAAGCAATGGTGCTAGGGAACAGAAGCCTTTAACACAAATGAAGTATTATTTCTTGAAGTAAGAGTAGGAAAAGAGAGCTATTTAATAAAGAATAATTCATTATTTTCCTTCTGGTAATTTTATATTAAACTATTCATTGTTAATCACCACTGTGATCCCAAAGGTTTTTTTATGCCATCCCAAATTAATTAATACTTGGTCCCAAAGGTTTTTTTAAACCCTCCAAAGTGGAAGTAAAATCGTTAGGAAGAATAGTGCTTGATTTTATAGTTTTCAGTGACTCAATCAGCAAACACTTATTGAGATGCTACTACATACTGTGATAGAAAGTCCATGTTATGAGCATGGACTTATTACATGGAAATTTCAACCTAAATTTCTTAGAAGCACCTAAAATTTTAAATTTTTAAAGCTGAACTCATTACCTTACCTGCCCCCAAACTATTATTTCTGTATACGCTCAGTATGTACCAAAAAAAAAAAAAAACCTGTTGGCTGTCGAGTCGATTCCGACTCACAGTGACCTAGCATCATTTTACTGGCCAAGACAGAAACCTAATATTGTTCTCCTTAACACCTCAGCCTTTCCTATCTAGTATGACAACAGATAAAACCCGTTAACATTGTATGTTTTTTATTCATCCAGATTTTTTCTAGGTACAAACTTAATAAAAACTATATATAATTATTTAATTTATATTTTAAAAAAATATGATTTCGTATATATCCTATTTTATATACATCTGCTACAAACGACCTCTTTAAAAAGCAAAGATGTCACTTTGAGGACTAAGGTACGCCTTACCCAAGCCATGGTGTTTTCATTTGCCTCATATGCATATGAAAGCTGGACAGTGAATAAGCAAGACTGAAGAAGAATTGATAGCTTTGATGACACAACCTTGTTTGCTGAAAGTGAAGAGAACTTGATGAAAATCAAAGACCACAGCCTTCAGTATGGATTACACCTCAACATAAAAGAAAAATCCTCTCAACTGGACCAATAAGCAACATCATAATATATGGAGAAAATATTGAAGTTGTCAGGGACTTCGTTTTACTTGGTTCCATAATCAACACCCATGGAAGCAGCAGTCCAGAAATCAAAAGATGCACTGCATTGGGCAAATCTGCGAAAGATATCTTTAAAGTGTTAAAAAGCAAAGATGTCACTTTAAGGACTAAGGTGCGCCTGACCTAAGCCATGGTGTTTTCAATTGCCATATATGCGTGTGAAAGCTGGACAATGAATAAGGAAGACTGAAGAAGAATTGATGCCTTTGAATTATGGTGTTGGAGAAGAATACTGAATATACCATGGACTGCCAGAAGAACAAACAAATCTGTCTTGGAAGAAGTACAGCTAGAATGCTCATTAGAAGCAAGGATGGCAACACTTTGTCTCAAGTATTTGGACATGTTATCAGGAGGGACCAGTCCCTGGAGAAGGACATCATGCTTGGTAAAGTAGAACCAAAATAAAAAAACCAAACCCGTTGCTGTCGAGTTGATTCCAACTCATAGCAACCCTACAGGACAGAGTAGAACTGTCCCCTAGGATTTCCAGGGAGCAGCTGGTGGATTTGAATTGCCAGCCTTTTGGTTAGCAGCCAAACATTCAACCACTGTACCACCAGGGCTCATGGTAAAGTCAGCAAAAAAGAGGAAGACCTGCAACAAGATGGATTGACACGGTGGCTGCAACAGTGGGCTCAGGCGTAACAAAGACTTGAGGATGGCTCAGGACTGGGCAGTGTTTCGTTCTGTTGTACGTAGGGTTGCTGTGTGTTGGAACTAACTCAAAAGCACCTAACAACAACAACAGCAACAATTCCTGGAGAAGGACATCCTGCTTGAAAAGTAGAGGGTCAGTGAAAAAGGGGAACACCCTCTACAAGATGGATTGACACAGTAGCTGCAACAGTGGTCTCAAAACGTAACAACTATTGTGGGAATGGTACAAGAGCAAGCAATGTTTCATTCTGTTGTACATAGGGTCGCTGAATTAGAACCGACTCTGCAGCACCTAACAACAGCATAAATATATACCGTTTTGTAACTTGCTGTTTTTGCTTCATAATAAACTTGAATATTAGTGTATGTCAGTAAAATAGCTGTACTTTATTCTTGTTAATTGTGCGTAGTGTTTTTGTGTGGATATTGTATAATTTATTTAATAAATTCTCTACTGAAAAGCATTTGAACTTGGTTCAGGTGACCTCATTGTTTGCCTGCCTCTATTCCAGAATGATCACTCTAAAATGCAAATATGAAATTTTTGCATATCACTATGGTTTCTTTTTCAAATCCCACTAAAATATGAGTACTTTGGGACGCTGTAGTGCTCAGTTAATATTTCTTGAATGAAGATGAAGGAAAGATGGAGTACTTGCCTTAGGAACACATTATATAAAAATCTACTCTTGTTACTCACTTGAATTTTCTATTTTTGACAGATTACATTATGACAATTCTTTTTTCGTTTTTAATTTTAGTGAAAGTTCACCATAATAATTATGTTGGTAGAAAACAGATTCCCAGCCTAAAATAATTGGTAGAAAACAGATCCCCAGCCTATAAAGGAACAAAGTGGTAATATCCTTATACTTTCACTTGTTATATAGGTTTCCTCAAGTTGCCCAACAGATTACACAAACTTGGTGGCTTAAAACAACAGCAATTTATTCTCTCACAGTTCTAGAGGCCAGACGTTCAAAATAAAGGTGTTGGCAGGACTGCACTGCATCTGAAGGTTCTAGGGAAGAATCCTTCTTTGCTTCTTCCAGCTTCAGGTGGCTCCCAGTGTTCCTTGGCTTGTGGCTACATAATTCCACGTTCTGCCCGTTTTCACATGGCCTTCTCTTCCTTCTCACTGTGTGTTTCCCCTCTGTGTGTCTCTTATAAAGACAATTGTCATTAGACTTAGGGCCCACCTGGATAATGCAAGGTGATTGCATCTCAGGATCTTTACCTTAATTACATCTGCAAAGACCTTTTTTCCAAATAAGGTCACATTCACGGGTTTGGTGGATCAGGAAGTGGACATACCTTTTTGGGGGGCCTCCATTTAACTCACTATACCTGTTCTGAAGATGCAGCATGGCCTAGTGGTAAGAAGTAGACTTTTTTCGGACAGGCCTGTAAGTCTCAGCACAAACACTTTTGTGGAATTGTAGCACGTTTTATTGTTGTTTTAACTAAAAAGTGAAAAAAAGAGAAAGAGAATGGAAATATTATGGGTGCTGCTTCCCATCATTCCATTCAATGATTGTAGTCCTTGGAATGGCTATAAGATGAGAGAGTCACAGTGGGTGAGCATCTCACCTTGCTGAATGTAATGCTGATATTTAAAGCACCTCCTTCAAATCTTTGCCCAAGTGTCATCTTCCAATAAGACCCCCCATTTAAATGTAACCTCTTCTCCCCAGTTCCCTTACCCTGCCTTTTCCCCCCATAGCACTTACCACCTTTTAATGTACTATAGAATTTACTTATGTTATTTATTGTTTGTCTCCCTCCCTTCTAGAATGTAAGACTCCATATGAGAGAAGGGGTCTTTTGTCTACTTTATATACTGATGTATCTCAGGTATCTAGAACAGTGTCCAGTACTTATTACCTGTGCGTCAATATTTGTTGAATGAATGAGTGAAATGAATAGGCAATACTCAAAAAAGAAATCCCTCAACCTCACTAGTAATCAGGTGAATGAAAATTAAAATTAAAAATTAAAACAATGAGATACCATTTAACACCTTGCAGGTGGCCAAAATTATATCTAACAATATTGTGGAGAAATGGGAACTCTTATACACTGTTAGTGGGGGTGTAAGTTGGTACAGTACTTTGAAGAGCGGTTGGCAGACCTGGGGAGTAAGGAGAATGGAATTGGAGAGGGATGCAAAGGGAACTTCAACTATTAGCTGAATCTATAGTTTTTATTTCTTTAAAAAAAAGGAATAAAGTAGTTCTATATAAGTATAGTGATGTGGAAATATCTCCAAGGCATATTATCAAATAAGAAATGCATGTTTCAAAACTGTGTATATTCATAACCTATTTTTATGGACAGAGAAATAGTTAATATATACTATAATGTATTACAACAAAAATATAGTTTTATGGTATTAAAAGAAATATTTTAGTTTTATCACAAAATAAAAACATTATACAATAATAATACAAATATTATCCTAAAAGTTAAAACATTAACTTGCTAAAGTCATTCTCAAATGCCTGCCATATATTCACTACTTCTGTGATTAAATTTTAAATAAACAGCTTATTTTCAATAACTACATTTTTTCTTTCTTTATATAGGCAAATCAATGCTGTATGCTTGTAGCGTTTTTTCTGGATGTTATAAAGCAATAGTTGAGTAGTGAATGTGTAAATCATTTATCTCAGCAGAAAAGTTTCTGTAATAGTAATTTATTATTCAAAGGGAGGAAGTAAAGCATAAAGCAATTTGTCAAACCTAAAATGCATTTCCCAGTATCGTGCACTTTCTGTGGGTAACAAATTTTTTTTAAAGGAAGCATTTATTAATGAACATCAACTTTAATAATGTCATTGAGGTTTTTTTTTCCCTTCTAATATGTTCTCAGATTGGTGCTCTCCTCTGTCTCAGATTATTTTGCTGCCATGTTTACTAATGATGTCAGAGAAGCAAGACAAGAAGAAATAAAAATGGAAGATGTAGAACCAAATTCACTATGGTCCTTAATTCAGTATGCATATACAGGTAATAACTCTAAATTTAAAACATTTTAGATTTATGTTATATTATTAGATTTCAGATTTCTGCTATGAATATAGCATGCCACAGCTAACAGTTAATGCTATGCTAATCACCACCTCTGGTGATACCTGTACAGGTTAAAATCCCCATATTAAAGCTTTTTCATTGGTGATAATTAAACTTATGAATGATTTTTTAAAATATTAGTATAATTAGATGAATTATGTAATGTTTTTAAATTACTGCATTTAAAGCTTATGTATAGTAGACATAAGTTACTAATTAATGCATCATTTAAAAATTCTGAAAATAAGCTATTATTTATTTTAGTAGAAATTGTGAAGAGCTAATAATCTTTTTTTTTCTTTTTGGAATGTCTTAAACCATTTAGGTCTGGAATACATGCAGCAATATCTTATTTAGAAATATTACTGTTACCATTGTTATTTTGTAAGCTAAGTTCAATATAGTTCCATAGCTAATGGAATTTCTTTTTATCACTAAGGCCGACTTGAATTGAAAGAAGATAATATTGAGTGCCTGTTATCTACAGCTTGCCTTCTTCAGCTTTCGCAGGTTGTAGAAGCATGTTGTAAGTTTTTAATGAAACAGCTTCACCCATCCAACTGTCTTGGAATCCGTTCTTTTGCTGATGCACAAGGTTGTACAGATTTGCATAAAGTGGCTCACAATTATACTATGGTATGTGTTTTTTGAAAAGCAGAAACGCATATGCTCTTTGCCTTATCCCTTATTGTTGCAGACTCTTTTATATGTTGCCGTTTTCCAATGCTTTGCCATATGCCATGAAGTTCAGATTCACTGTAGAGTGTTTCATATTTTCATTGAGTTATGAAAGAAAAACTCCAAGTATTATTTCTCCTGGATGTATGAGTCAAGCCCTAAATTATTACAGTCCCTAAGAAGCAGAGCAGTGGCCTAGGATGGTTCCATTCAGGATTTTCAGATCTGCTGTTTTTTTAAAGCAGGGTTTCTCCAGACATTTTACTTCACAGCACATGTATGAACTTTAGAATTGTCCACAGGTTTGCTGATGGAAATTGGTGAAAGTAGTTGTGATGTATTGGTACAGTACTAATACAGAAGATAGGAGGATGAAAGGAGGCTTTTTACTAATGTACATCTGATTATGTGGGTTTATTATGATACATATTGATTATATGTAAGGAGCTATTTATAGCCATGTAGAAAGATGTTCTTATTAACTGTAGCAAACTATGCAGTCCAAATAATTCATAAAGGGAGTCCTGACTCAACAGCGTGGAGGATGTTGCTGTTGTTAGGTGCTGTCGAGTTGGTTCCGACTCATAGTGACCCTGTACAGCAGAAGCACTGCCCAATCCTGCACCACTCTCACAATTATTGCTGTGCTTGAGATCATCCTTGCAGCCACTGTGTCAATCCATCTCATTGAGGGACTTCCTCTTTTGCACTGACCCTCTACTTTACCGAGCTTGATATCCTTCTCCAGGGACTGGTCCCTCCTTATAACTTCTCCAAAGTATGTGAGATGAACTCTTGCCATCCTCGCTTCTAGGGAGCATTCTGGCTATACCTCTTCCAGGACAGATTTGTTCGTTTCTGTCACCAAGGCCATATTCTCCAACTACCGATCCTTTTTCCTTGTTTCCAGCTTTTGCATTCCAATCATCAATAATTATCAGTGCATCTTGATTGCATGTTTGACCCATATCAGATTGCAGGAGTTGGTAAAATCTTCAATTTCTTCATCTTTGGCATTAGTGGCTAGTGCGTCAGTTTGAATAAAAGTCATATTAACTGTTCTTCCTTGTAGGTGTATAGATATTACCTGTTACTGACAGCACTGTAATTCAGGCTAGATCTTGAAATGTTCTTTTGACAACGAATGTGATGCCATTCCCCTTCAATTTGTCATTCCTAGCATAATAGACCTTATGATTGTCTGATTCACAATGGCCAATACCAGTCCATTTCAGCTCACTAATGCCTAGGATATCGATCTTTGTATGATCCATTTCATTTTTGATGACTTCTAATTTTCCTAGATTTATATTTTCTACATTCTGTGTTCCAGTTATTAATGGATGTTTGCAGCTGTTTCTTCTCATTTTGAGTCATGCCACATCAGCAAATGAAGGTCCTGAAAGCTTTACTCCATCTATGTCATTAAGGTCGACTCTACTTTGAGGAGGCATCTCTTTCCCAGTCGTATTTTGAGTGCCTTCCAACCTGAAGAGCTCGTCTCCTAGCACTATATCAGACAGTGTTCCAGTGCTATTAATAAGGTTTTCACTGGCTAGTTTTTTTCAGAATTAGATTGCCAAGTCCTTCTTCCTAGTCTTTTTTAGTCTGGAAGCTCTACTGAAACTTGTCTACCATGGGTGAGGCTGCTGATATTTGAAATACTGGTGGCATAGCTTCCAGCATCACAGCAACATGCGAGGCACCACAGTACAACAAGCTGGCAGACGAGTGGTGGAGTATGGAGGATAATGGATATGCATTGATCTAGGACAGCAAGAAAATAAGGGTTTGTTGAAGACATTGTTAGGATCAGTTTCCATGGTCTTAACAGTAGAAGAGCACAGGGAGGGAGGGTATGTAGAGTTTTAAGGACTGCCCAACTTGTCACACTACAGCAGTTGGGTCTTTCACACCTTGAGCAATGATTGAGGACTGTTGCTGGAAATGCTTCAATCAGAGAGACAAAAGAGTGTGAACATTCACATACATATATACAGCTATCCTTATTACTAATGTCTCAATATTTAGGATTTTTTTTCCCTCTACCTTCTTCCCCATCCCTCCTTCAATTGAGTTGATGAGCCTGTGAAAGGATTGACAGTACTTTAGGGATCTTTCATTAGAGAAAACAGAGAATTTGAAAAAATTACAAGAATAGATATTTACAAATATTAGGAAGTATCAATTCTGCCTACCTCACAAGCTTGATGTGAGAATTGATTAATAGAAGGTGTGTTGTTGTTGTTAGGTGCCATCAAGTTGGTTTCAACTCATGGTGACCATATAGGACAGGGTAGAACTGCCACATAGGGTTTCCAAGGAGCAGCTGGTGAATTTGAACTGCCAACCTTTTGGTTAGCAGCTAAGCTCTTAACCACTATGCCACCAGGGCTCCTGATAGAAGTTAGGCACTTAAAATAATGATTGGCAGATAGTATACTCAGTCAATAAATGGTATCCTCATCATTGTCATCATCATTATGTATATTTACTCTATTCAGCACAGTAGGGATTTCTGTGCATGAACAAAAGCATGAATACAAAAGCACAATCTTTATAATGGGTTTTTTCCCCTTGTGGTGTAATCACTTCTCAGAAATGCTTCTTGTTTAAGATGACCACATGGCCTCAGGTGAGAAAATAAAGATTGTGCCATAAGACAACACTGTACAGACCTGACATGGTATTATTTTAACATCTTTTAAATTAACTGTTTTGAAAGATCCGCCCCCCGCCCTCGGCCTTTATCCTTCTTTGCATAGTTCTCATTTTAACCTTACACTTGCAATTTCAAATACTTTTTGGAATAAGATGACTATAAATAAAATAAAGCTGGATTTTTTTCTTCATAATTAGTTCATAGTTCAGTATCTAACTTCTTCACATAAAAACATTTATATGCACTTAGGTCACTCTTGTTGTTTATAGTAGAAACACAATTGCTGCATTAAGCCTTAGCCATAAATTTAAATTAGCTGGATGTTTTTAAAGATATTTTCATAGCCAATTAGTTGTGGTAGGTTTTTTTTTTTTTCAAGGCCCTTACATGACGTTATTCAGTTTCAACAGAGACATGAAATTGAATTCTAATAACAATAAGTAATTTAGAGACAGATTGTCTGATTTGAATTGTTGCTATGGGAACTGAATGAAAATGTATAGGAAAATTCAATCTTCAATTAAAATAAATCCTTCAATAATTTTATTTGCTTAAAAAACTATTGCAAAGGGGGAAAGGGCACAATGCTACCAAGTGTTTGATAGCACGATAGTTGTTTGTTTCATAAAATGGGTTAAAAGTATGAAATAAACATAATGCCATGGCAGTAAAATCAATTTTACAATCAGTAAATAGTACATGTACTTGGGATGTTCACTGATCCTACATGAATACAAGTAGGAAAGGACAGTGAATTCCTTCTCGTGATCCTGGAATGTGGAAAATTTTGCTTTCATTCTGAATGCCACTGAATGTGACCTGGAGCAAGTCATTTCATCTTTAAAAAAAAAAAGTCTTAAGACTTTTTGTATCATTACAACTATGTAATGACCAGTCCCTGCAGAAGGACATCATGCTTGGTAAAGTAGAAGGTCAGTGAAAAAGAGGAAGAGCCTCAACAAGATGGACTGCCACAGTGGCTGCAACAGTGGGCTTGTGAGGATGGCACAGGACCAGGCAGTGTTTCCTTCTGTTGTACATAGGGTCGCTATGAGTTGGAATCGACTCAACAGCAGCTAACAACAATAATATTTAATGACATTATGGGTTTATGAAACAAATATAAACATTTAATTTTAAAATTTTGATTCTAAATCTAGAAAAATTATGAAAACATTCAATTCTGCTAAAATAGCTGCTTCAAAATCAAATTAATACTTTTGAAAAGAATTTTTGTTTAACCTTGAGTCCAGTAGTATTTTGATAAATTTTTGAAAAGCTCTATTTTAATTTAATATGAATTATACTAGAATGGAATGGGCATTGTTCTAAATTAGATACATCAATAAACAAAGGAACATTTATATAATAACTTTTTCTCACTGATGAAATTTAATATCATTTCAGAGTATGGCAATAGTTACATCAATATTGTATAAATACGTTGATTGTATGTATACTATACCTTTGAGCAATTAGAAATGTATATTATTTTTATTTCTTCAGGATCTCACTTAACATTATAATTGTCTTTCCATGTGGCCATGTGATCCTTGTCCTTGAAAGTTTTAATGTCTGCTTAATAATCCATTGAGTTACAACCCCCTCCCATAGCTGAACATTTTGGCTATTTTCCATTTTTTACTATTATAGATAGTAATAGAAGTATCTTTCTGTATTCTGCTTTTTGTCCTCTTGCAAATTATTTACTAAGGGTTAAACTACTAGTGGGATAACTGGATTGAGAGCTTCAACATTTTTATGGTTCTTGCTATGTGTTACCAAGTCATTTTATGATGTCAGTATACAAATGAGTAAAACAATTTGCTTGAAGCCATTCCACATCAAGATTTTATTAAAATATATTATGAAAATGATAATCAGTCATTTAAAATAGGTTCGTTTGGGCATCTTTAACAAATCATGATGAATTGAAGCAATTGAATTTAGTTAATTACTTATGTATGGTTTTCCTCTGGAGAATCTCTGTTGAAAGGAATGTCAACCCCATGAATATATCTTAGATCAGTACCTAACTTGGGTGACAGCAGGCTATATAGAAAATATAATTCTTATTTTAATAAAGAAGATAGTTATTGATAGTCCTAGTTCTAATTTAAACAGCCTTAGCTATTTTACTCATCATCCGACTCATAGTATATTAGAAAATGTGAGAAAAACTTTAAGAAACGGTATGTCTAGCACTTGCATTTATATTATAACTGTGTAATATATCTGTGCATTAAGATTTATAACCTTTCACAGCAGATAAGTTTTCTTTCTCTTCAGGTTATTTACCACAATAACCTAGTAAAGTTCATTGTCTTAAACTTAAGGGCATTTCTATTTCCATTTCAACCTATAGGGAGTTGATTCTAGTCTGAGGCCAGGACTGAGTCATCTTCAGTTTAAGGTCCTGGAGTCCCAGTCCATTCTAAGGCCATCTTTTTTGCTTTGGTTCTTTATCTTATAAGCCCAAAAGAGCTTTGTATATAAATCAGATTAGAAGAGAGAAAAATTCTCAAAACAGCCCTAAAATCCTGGTGGTCTTTCAAATAACATTTAAAGTACTTTTAAAGGTCGGTTTGGTTATAGAGTAACCCTAAGGAATATACTTTTCCTGGGTAGACTGAGAAGATGTCTGTGATCGAGAATGGTCCTGGGAAATCTAGCTGGCTTGAAGGCCATTTCTGGGTAAGAGAAACTACTTCAAGGCTCACCCAGGCATTTAGCTCCACTGTTGGCCAAATTCTTCAGCAAACACATAATCCAAACTAGCTTCTGATATTAGAGTATTTTACATCTCAGTGTCTAATTCATTTTTCTGTTTTCTTTCGAAAGACTTGCCAAAACCATTCCCTAACTTGTGCAGAAACCAAACCAAACCCATTGCCGTCAATTCCAACTCATAGCGACCCTATAGGACAGAGTAGAACTGTCTCGTAGGGTTTCCAAGGAGCAGCTTGGTGGATTTGAATTGCCAACCTCTTGGTTAGCAGCCAAGCTCTTAACCACTATGCCACCAGGGCTCCAAGTCTTGTGCAAAGCAGTATCTAAATGTCTCAAATCCATTTTTAAAATGTAGTAAGTGATACAACACTTTAATTCTACTTACATAGAAGTAAAAGCTTAACAGTATAATTTCACTTTAAATGCTAGTTTTTGCTCTGCTTCTTTCCTAATAAGCAATAATAAAGTATAAATTGTGTTCTGGCACCTAATTCAAAAAACTTCATTTCCTTCAATTACACTATGATAGCCAGAAAGAACAATATTGTTTATATGCTATTCTTTCCTGTAGGAGCATTTCCTGGAAGTAATTAGAAACCAGGAATTTGTATTATTACCAGCCAGTGAAATTGCAAAGCTCTTGGCCAGTGACGACATGAACATTCCTAATGAGGAGACAATATTGAATGCACTTCTTACTTGGGTTCGTCATGATTTGGAACAGAGACGGAAAGATCTCAGTAAACTTTTGGCTTATATTAGGCTCCCCCTTCTTGCACCACAGGTAAACCATTTTTGATTATTTAAAATCAGTGTCATAATTTCAGCAGTGTTTGAGTATTCACTTTATGCTAATTGCTTTACTATGTCCTTGTCTATAAGTTAATATTTTTCTTTGCCTGTTCTGTTTAATAAGGTAATTTTACATATATTCCTTTGGAAAGTGTATATGAGAAGAATGGGAGGTAAAAAATCCTTCTTATGTTCTCAACCCAGAAGGTCTGATAATCTAAATTGCATCAGTTAAGTAACATTGTTGATTTGGGGTTAGTAATTTTTTTTTTATTGTGCTTTAGGTGAAAGTTTACAGCTCAAGTTAATTTCTCATTAAAAAATTTGTACACATATTGTTTTATGACATTGGTTGCAATCCCCACAATGTGATGACACATTCCCCCTTTCCACCCTGGGTTCCCTGTGTCCATTTGTCCAGTTCCTGTCCGTTCCTGCCTTCTCGTCCTTCTTTTGGACAGGAGCTGCCCATTTGGTCATGTATATTTGATTGAACTAAGAAGCACGTTCCTCGCGTGTGTTTTTATTTCATAGGCCTGTCTAATCTTTGTCTGAAACGTGGGCTTTGGGAATAGTTTCAGTTCTGGGTTAGCAGAGCATCTGGGAGCCATAGTTCCAGGAGGTTCCTCCAGACTCTGTCAGACAATTAAATCTAGTCTTCTTTTTAGGTTTTGATTCAGCTACAAACCTGTCCTGGAAATAGAAGGAATATTAGTAAAGTTGATAGTGAAAGGAATACTGGATTCCAGGAATCAGAAAATTTTGATTAATTCATTTGCCACATGTTTATTAAGCATTCACTAAATGCTGGATTCTGGTGATATATAGATTAATAAGACATGACAATAGTTCTGGCTGTGCCATTTAAACTCTTGTGATTTGACATATTCACACTCCTCAGTTTTGTCATCTATCAAGTGAAGGTAATGTCTTCTCTGTCTCATAGGGTTATTATGAGGATCAGAAGAGTACTCTGTGAAATATAATGTATTATAAATACTAATGATATTATTATTATTTCAGTATTTAAAAATCTATTCAGTGAAATAAAGGTAGTTAGTCATAACATAGTTACATGCATAGTTTCCCCTTTTTATTATTGTGACTGGAATATACAAAAATTTCCCCTGCATACTTTGCTGCTAATAGGCAACAGCGCTTTACCTTGAGAGCTTGAACTTGAAAGCATAGAAAGAATTAGTTGTTACTGCAAAAGGTCAGGTGTTTTTTTTTTGTTTTTTTTTTTTTGCTTTAAAATGCCTTGAATGCTATATAATTTGTATTTATCTTGAGAATGTGTATTATTCCCTGCTGTTGTGAGTGAAAGTTGTTTTCTACCTTACAAAAATCAGTGCTGATGCTTTGTAAGAAAGACTTCCCTCTTCAGAAGTAGAATATTGTATGAGTCCATAGGAGTGAAACTGCATGGATCGATGACAATTCAGGAAAAATAACTTATAATAAAATTCTTTCTCTTGAAATCAGATTTAAAGAAGGAAATTATACTTTTATTGTTACCTGGCAGAATTATTTTTCTTATTCTTTCTAGATGAGAGAAAATAAAATCTGAACGATCCTATTAGACTTTGAAAAGAATTTTGTACGATTAAGTAAACTGACAATTTACTTCACTCCTGCAGTTTCAGATATTTTTGATACTATATTTGCATGACTGTCAGGGACTTTCAAAATTTCTGTTGTGCCATAAGATCTTAGAATTGAAAGGCACTTTGGAGATCATTTAGTCCAACCCCTGTTGTAAAAATGAAGTAACAGACCAAAATGGTAAAACCATATGTTCAAAATCACAAAGTGATTACATAAATTCCTGTCCTTCTTAATTGTAGTTTTATTTGACTTTGCTACTTAGCTAACATTATAAGAGCTAATAAATAGGACTTGGATCTAAGTAAAGTTCTGTGGCTTTTCAATTAAACTGCTCTGCCTCTTAAATGTACTAAAATTGCTGGGCCGGGGCAATGATATCAGGTGGAAGAAAAAATAGATTAAAAAATAAATCAGTTATTACAGTATGATGAGTTGAAGGTTGTGCTAGATATATGGACATAGTTTTGTGAAAATAATAGGAGTAGTCCATTCAGACTGATGATGGGGAAGCAGAGAGAAATGACTTGCTGAAGTGTCGCTTGATCTGCATTATGGATTAGCCACCCAAAGAAAGGGGAATGGTGGTCCCAGAGAGATAGAAGATTGTTCCTAGGTATGGAGTCATGAGTGAATATTTTATTTTCTGGAATTTGAAGATAGTTTACAAAGTTAAAGTGGAGAAATAAAAGGGGGGCAGTGTCAAGAGATGAGGCTGGACGGGAAAATAGACCAGATCATGAAGACCCTCTAGTCATGCTAAGGGGTTTAGATTTTATCCTGTAAGAAATAAGGAAGCACTGAAGATTTTAAACAGAGGAATGTCATAATGAAGATTTTATTTTAAAAAGATCACTATGACTGTATTGGGGATGATGGATCAGAGGGTTCAAAACTAGAAAACCTAAAGGGAGGCTATTGGAATTCAGATAAGAAGTGATTAGGCACTCTCTGGCAGTGGAGATAGAAATTACCAGGCTCAAGAGCTATTTAGAAGATCAAATTGACACAAATTAATGACTGGTGGAATGGTTGAAAATATGAGAAAAAGAGGGGCCCAGGATGATTCTTGTTTATGCAGCTAGGTTAATGAAGGTGCTATCAATTGAGATAAGGAATACAGGAAGAAGAGCTGATTTTAGGGTGGGGAAGGAAGTGGGAGAATCATGTTCCCAGAACTTCTTGGTACCTTTAACCCTCTTAGAGTCTAAGAAGAAATTTTAAAAACCACTTATTTAGGTAGTTGAAGCCAAGGGGAAAAGAATGTCACTGGCCAAGGAAAACAGAAAAGAGCGAGAGGCAGAACCCCAACAAACATTAATACTGCCTTTAGTGGTAGTTCTTAAACTTGGCCGAATATCTGGAGTGGTATTAAAAATAGATTCCAAGTTTAAGAAGGAGGAAGTTTTAGCAGCCTCGGATGCTACAGAGAAGACAAATAAGGTAAGGACTAAAAGTCTACTGGATTAGCCAGTGGTTCTCAAGGTGTGATCCCCAACAGTAGAATCAGCACCACCAGGGAACTTGTTTGAAATGCAAATTATTAGGTCTCACAGCTACTAAATATGAAACTCTAGGGTGGGGCCTAGCAAATTATGTTTTAAAAAGCCTTTGGATACTCCTGGTACATGTACAAGTTTGAGACTGTCTTAGCATGATAAATTTTAGTTGACTACTGGAGATGGAAACCACATTGCCCTAACTCAAACATAGTACTTCACCTTTCTGAGCAACATTTTTCTTTTCTAAAAAGGTAATTCTGCATTGCAGTATTGTGAAGTTTAGAGATAATGGCAGATTTTTTTTCCCTTGGTAAAAGTGAAGGACAAAGTTACAGAAAGAGTTATCAAGTGATGAAGTTTTAATATAGACTCTAAAATCATCAAGAAAATGTCAGATTATATTCTGTATGTTCTATTTTAAAAGGCAGGGGAGTGTGACAGTTATTATGACAGTTGTTAAAAGTGTCTAATGACAGTCAAATAATAAATGACTAATATAAAAAATTGGCATTAGGCTCAGTTATTTGGGAAATTTAGTTTTCTGAAATAGCTCCTTTCCCAATGATGCCAACAAAATAAGGTTTTACTCTACTTTGTTAATGTGAAGACCATCAATTGCTCATATACAAGTTCAAATTGAAGCTGAAGAAAATTAAAACAAGTCCAAGAGAGCCAAAATACATCCTTGAGAACATCCTACCTGAATTTAGGGACCATTTCAAGAACAGATTTGATACACTGAACACTAATGACCAAAGACCAGACAAGTTGTTGGAAGACATCAATGACATCATACAGGAAGAAAGCAAAAGGTCATTAAAAAGAAAGAAAAGACCAAAATGGATGTCAGAAGAGACTCTGAAACTTACTCTTGAATGTAGAGTAGCTAAAGCAAATGGAAGAAATGATGATGTAAAAGCTGAACAGAAGATTTCAAAAAGCAGCTCGAGAAGACAAAGTGAAGTATTATAATGAAATGTGCAAAACCTAGAGCTAGAAAAACAAAAGTAAAGAACGCATTTGGCATTTCTCAAGCTGAAAGAACTGAAGGTAGCATATGATCAAAACCAGTGGTGCTGAAGAAAGAATTGTCAAGCTGCACTAAAGGCGTTAGCAAAAAACAAGGCTCCAGGAATTGACAGAATACCAATTTTATGTTTCAACAAATGGATGCAACCCCAGAAGTGCTCACTCCTCTAGGCCAAGAAATTTGGAAGATAGCTGCCTGGCTAACTGACTAAAAGAGATCCATATTTGTGCCTATTCCAAAGAAAGGTGACCCAACAGAATGTGGAAATTATCGAATGATACTGTATTACATTCAAGTAAAATTTTGCTGAAGATAATTCAAAAACAGTTGCAGCAATACATCGACAAGGAACTGCCAGAAATTCAAGCTGGGTTCAGAAGGGGACGTAGAACAAGGGATATCATTGCTGATGTCAGATGGATCTTGGCTGGAAGCAGAGAATACCTGAAAGATGTTTACCTTTATTTTATTGACTATGCAAAGGCATTTGACTATGTGGATCATAACAAATTATGGATAACTTTGCAAAGAATGGGAATTCTACAACATATAATTGTGTTCATGCAGAACCTGTACATAGACCAAGAGGTGGTCATTCAAACAGAACAAGGGGATACTGCGTGGTTTAAAATCAGGAAAGGTTTGCATAAGGGTTGCATCCTTTCACCATGCTTATTCTGTCTGTAGCTGAGCAGGTAATCCGAGAAGCTGGACTGTATGAAGAAGAATGCAGTATCAGGATTGGACAAAGACTCATTAACAACTTGCAATATGCAAATGATACAACCTTGCTTGCTGCAAACGAAGAGGACTTGAAACACTTATTGATGAAGATCAAAGACTACGGCCTTCGGT